TGGGTGAAGCTCCAGGAGTATGAAATAATGGTATCATATTCCACAAAGCAAACAAGAAAATAAACGGGTGTGAATTTTGTCAGTAATCTTTAGTAGCAAGCCTTAACACCACCACCACCAGTGCAGCTGCAGATATTACTCTATGTGTGGTCTGAGAGGAGCAACCAGGAATTAGTGACCTGCGAAGCATTTCAACTCCAGAGAGAAAGAGTCACAGAGTGAGAGAGAAATTGGAAAAATAATTGATCAACTCCTGTGCTAAACAGCTCCTGTCAACTGTGAGCTCTGGCATGCTCCACAGTGTGCCACAGCGCAATCATAGCATCGGAGAACCTTAAACCTGGATGGAAAAAATTTATACTAACTACACTTTAACATTTCCGCCAGGCCATCGGGTCTGTGTTTTATTTTACATGAGAAACTGAAGAATTTCAGTTCTCTTTGTTGCCACTGGAGAAAGATTCATTTTGACATGTGAAATCCTCCCCCACATCACTCCCTAGATAGCGTTTGTAAAGAATGTATAAGCCATTGAAATATTAGACCCACAACCTTGAAACTAACAAATAGACTTTTGTGATATTGTGACAGTACTTCCCACATTTCTTGTTTTAAATTATACAGCAGTGTGCAACCCTTATCCCCCCACCACCCCACATCCCCCCCCCATTCCAATTTTAGCAGCTTAATGGCAACACACAACAAAAAGTCTTTACAAAAAACTGTTCTTTGTCTTCCCCAAATTATTCTGCAAGCATTTGTTCCCCACACCACACTCTCAAGCTCCCACCCCCCACTCCACAATAGTGTACAATAGTCAGTTATTTCAAGATCTAATGCAAAGGTTGAGGTTTGCACCATTTGCCTGATTGATCCAGAAAATTGATGCATTTTGCCACCAATTTATTCCTTTGTATTTGGGTGTATGCATATGTGTGCACTTGTGGACATGTGTATTAAGGTTTGTGTACGTGTATACTGGTGTATTTGTGTACTGATATGGAAACATAGAAACAAGAGTAGGCCGTTCTGCCCCTCGAGCCTGTTCCAGCATTCTATAAGATCATGGCTGATCTGTACATCAAATCCAATCACCTGTCTTTGCCGTGTATCCCTTAATACCCTGACCTAACAAATATAGGTCAGCTTGGTGTCAGCCTGTCCCAATCAGCAGTGCTCTTGCCTCTTGAATCACAGGGTTGTGGGTTGAAGCCCCCACGCTTTGAGCTTACATTCCCGACGTGGGTTTGTAACCCACAGCTTTCTGACTCCAAGTGAGAGTGCTACCCACTGAGCCAGATCCACATGCAAACCTGTGACACTCGAAAAGAAAATCCCAGATTCAGGTTGCAACATAACTGCAGTTGATCACACCTCTGAAAAAAAGGTGTAAAGCGAGCCAAGACATTTTGCCCCATGTGAAACACAAGTAATGCTTACGGTTTATTTGCAACCTTCGCGAACTGCAGCTGACCGGTTTTCAGTTAACCTGTCCGTGTGTTCTCTTATCCATGTGGCCTCTGTGGGCTGAAATATTTTGAATCCTTTGCTAAGGTTATTATACCGGTTAACAGTTGAATTCATGTCATGAATATTAGATAAGTCCCGTGGTTTTTTTAAAATAATATTAACCTTGTAATTGCTTCTGATAGCAAAGCCAAACAGAAGCCACAATACAAGCTTCTGAAACTCACAGCACTCAAAGCAAACTGGGAACACAAATAAGTTCTTAATTCAGACTCAAGTTTGAAACCCCTCATCTTGGAGCTGAACCAATTGAGCCAGTATATATCAACATATAAGAGATGTCTCAAAGCGCTTCACAGGCGATTGCTGTCAAGAGGCCAGGCTTCTCTACCAACTATCACGTTCTAAATGTCAATCCACGACTGTTTGTGGACGCTGCTATACGCAATTGGCTGCTGCGTTTCACCCACAAAATATGCAGTCAATTCACTTTACAGTACATTCTGCGAAGCGCTTTGAGACGTCTCGAAGACGTGATAAGACGCTATATCAAATGCAAGGGTTATTATTATCATTAATTAACCCTCTGCATAAAGAAGTATTTCCTGGTCCTCTCTCTGAGATGTCTGCTATCAACCTGAGGCGCCCCAGCTTGTTTCCCTAACGTCACAGTGACCAGAACTGCTCTAGAGCTCCCAGCTTTAGATACAGCTCGCCTTGGGACTCACCAAATTAAAATGGCTCGAAGCATGATCCCATTTCATTGTGGAGAACCCGTTACTGTGAAGCGTTCCGAGACGTTATGCTATGTGAAGGGACAAATGTAAGGGGTAGTTGTTGTGGTGGAAATCCTTGGATCCGGCGCCTGTTAGGATCCCAACTTAAAGCGTGCACAGGTGCTGTTAAATTGCGTTGACACTGTGGAGGTCATTCTCAAAGTGGGTTAGCTGCAAACTGGTTGAATTTATGATTTTAACACACCCTGCCTCGCTCTGCGACCTTTGTCCGCCATTCACTAATACCTTGAGCTGACAATTTACCAGGCACTAAGCAACTCCCAACATTCAGTCCACGAGCACCAATTGCTGCCCTGCGCCATTCTCTCCCCCGGATCAGTATTAGCTGTGGCTGATCCCTTTAGTTACCAACTCAAGGTAATCTCGTGCGTTACTCCGATTATTTGGGGATACAAGCCTGCCTGACAATGAGCTGCTTCCATGTGCACGGAGGAACACAAAATGCATTTAAAATCTTGGGCTAAATGTCATCAATTCACAGATTTCTGATCGATTCACTTTAGATCACTCCATTACTTGCACACTCTTGCACATCCTCTGACCTCAACCCCCACCCCTACACCACCCACCCCCACCAGCCCCCTCCCCACTCCCAAATCAGAGCAGCTCCTTCAACCTTTACAAACACTTTTACGCAAAAATCGTTCCTCCATTATAACGATACAATTTGGTCACTCAATCAACGACTGTTTGTGGGCAATTGGATGCCGCGTTTCGCCCACAAAGTATACAGTCAGTTCACTTTGCAGTATATTCTGTGAAGCGCTTTGAGACGTCTCGAAGACATGATAAAGCGCTGTATCAAACGCAAGGATTATTATTATTACAATACAAATTTGCATTGATATCGCACTTTTCAAGACGGGACAACGTGGAATTATTCACTTGGGATAAAGTTTAAACTGTTCAGGTTATTAATATAACGGCGTACAATTCAACAAAGTTATGTTTTCAGTGAATACAAGACGGGACAAAGGGGGCATCTGATCCACGTCTACTTTGTTACTGTGTCGCCCAAAAGCAACACTTTATCTGTAACACGTTTGAATCTTAGAGCAACAATCTGTCTTTTGCTAGAAAAATGATATCAAGCTTCACAAGCTTTTGTTGCACAAAAAATCACCAACCAGCAATTTCACAACCAGGTTTACAACATTTACAAAATAGCGTGAGCAGGAAAATGCCCCCCAAACCGTATCAAACGGACAAATGTTGAGATTCAGAAATACATGCCAGCTCAATAAACACTGTACTACACCTGAAACAGAAACAGGAGTCGCTGGGAACACTCAGCAGGTCAGGCAGCATCTATGGAGAAAGGAAAGTGAGTCAACGTTTTGGGTCCACGACCCTTCGTCAGTTCTGACCCGAAACGTTGACTCACTTTCCTTTCTCCATAGACGCTGCCTGAGTGTTCCAGCGACTCCTGTTTCTGTTTCAGATTTCCAGCATCTGCAGTATTTTGCGTTTTGACCGTACTACTCCTGACAGGCAAAGCTACTTTTTTGTTCCTAGAAAAAGCTACAGGAAAAGAGCTGCGAGGTTTTACGAGAGTGGAAGGTTTCACAGTCCCCCCCACCGCCGCCATCACACCACACCCGAGCCGAGGAGAGCACAAACCCATATCGATGTCTGCGGTAATGCCACGTAACTTTTTCTTTGTTATAGAAAGGGTTTGGATGACAAGGCCACTTTTGAAATTGCACAAGAAAATGGTGTCGGTTTTCTGTAACATAACATTGCAAAATCACGCGGCACAATCCTCAGCATTTCCTACATCAAGCGCTTTGTGCAATCACCTTCTCCCCCCCCCCACCCGGAGAAACTCTTGAGATATCAGCTGAAGCGAGCCGATGATCCCAACAATTCACAATCAGCTCAAATGGTAATATTTTCCCTGAAAACTTAATCGAGTTACGTTCTATGGTCACAACATTTACTGGATTATCGTTGGACCTCCTTGCAGAATGTAATGTGATTTTTTTTCTTTCTGCCTGTGTTGTTTTGTAATTTTAGTGAGTCCAGTTACGATTCTATCTTTTCTTCCCATTGCCCCTCTGCTCTCAGCAGAGATTCGGGTGACAAGACCTAAGAAAAGGCAAATAATAAAAATAGAAATGGTCTCACAGACTGGGTGAGACTTTGGCCATTACTTGTTGACCCTCACAGCAGAACGTCAGACACTATCTGTGCTGATGGAGCAGATAATGTGGTATTGGCTGGTTGGTGAAATGAAGCCAGTGTTTCACTGGGGCAGGATTTCCTTTATCCACTGAAAAAGGGTCCTGGAGAATTCACAGCTACAAGTAAACATCCTGCCTTGCCTTTCTTTGCAAACTTCTTGCACCATTCCCTGAGGGGAGGGGAGGGAAACGTCTATTCATCTTTAAATAGGAACATTGATACCACACATGAATGAAGGGTTTGGTTACAAAAATCATGACATTGTTCTTAGCATCCTTAGAAAGTAACTACATAACTAGCAGCAAAGTGAACCAGTTAACATAGTGGGTGGAGATGTGGGGGTGGGGTGGGTGAAAGAGGTTTTTAAAAAAGTGGTTGGATCCAGACTGCTTGTTATTTTCTCTCTCTCTCTCTCTCTCTCTGTCGAGACAATTTCCATTCGAAATGACCAGAAAAGGAAGGAAATAATAACAATCGAATCGCAAGCTTCTGAAATCTCACCTAATAACACACACACACACACACTCCACATTGTTCCTGGTAAACACTCACCATCTTCCTGGTTCTGCTGATTTTGTGGGCTGTGCATTCTCTCTTCTTGGCTGGGGCTTAAATCAGAGTTCACACACTGGTCTGCAGATATCCATGTGGAATCGCTCATGTCAAAGTCATCGCTGCTCACTGAACTTTCATCCTGAAAGAGAGCATTTATCGTTGACAACTGCAGGGTAAGATGTCCCATGCTCCCTTTGCACCGACCCCCAAATAAAGTCTAAGATAAACTTCATTCTGTCCTGTGGGTGGAAGCATTCCCCCCTTCCCACCGTACATATGAAACAGATTTTGCTGTGTGCAAACTGGCCGCCTTGCTGGTGTACAAAACACAGTCACTACACTTTACAATGAATCCTTTTGAGACTCTTTGAGAAAGGCCCTGTGTCAAAATGCAAAGGCGACTTATTTTTTTTATTTGCTCGGGACACGTTTGAAATTCGTAGATGTTTATATATGATGCTCTATTGCTCTGGGACGCTACCCTGTGTGCTATATGAATGTAAGTTGTTGTAATTGTTGTTGCCTTCAACTAAGAATTCAAGGGAAAAAAATAACTGGCTAACTTATAGTACTGGGCAGTCCATAACAGCCTACAGGCTCCCTATCAAACGTAGCATGTTACAAAGTGTAAGGCATTTAAAAAGACAATCTTGCCACACAATACCTCCCTGAGTTCCCTTCCCTGAGAGCTTGTAGAGACACAAACAGCAACACAGACAGACGCATTCCCCCATTGCCCTCCCAGAGCTTTTGAGGAAAATCCATGTTGTGCCTTGTCCTGGATATAAGAGAGAAATGGAGTTTCTCCCGGTCTCCTTGGCTAGCAACTCTCGTTTCAAGGCTGGTTGTGGGACCTTGCTGTGTGCAAATTGACTGCCTACAAATAAACACTTCACTGCCCTTAAACAGAAAGTCCCTGCAAAGCACTTAAGAGACATTTCAAAATATACAGTCAATCCACTTTACACTATATTACGTGAAGCGCTTTGAGATGTCTCGAAGATGTAATAAGGCGTTATTATCAGGTCCAAGGATTATTATTAGTATTATTTAAACAACAAAACAACAACTTGCAAATATATACCACCTTTCATACAAGGTAGAGTTTTGGCTTTACAGGCACAGTATAAAATGCAGTGGTTATTTTTATTTATTATTATAACAAGATGCATTTTAAGAATAGATGGATAGATTCCACCCAGGTCTAGATTTACTCTAAATGCACGCAGTATTTTGGATCCTGCAGAATCTGACAAACTTGAAATCAGTTTGAACTTTGAAGCCATTTTTTTCTGTAATTTCGCAAAAGAAACTTTACAGAAAAATACTTCAAAAAATTGAAAATTGTGTTACAGAAATTGACAAATTTTAGATGCTCTGAAATCAAAAAATGCTAACGCACGACATTTTTATGTCGGAAGGACATCTCCAAGCGCTTCGCAGGATTTACTGTAAAGTGTAGTGACTGCATTTTGTAGATGAACACAGTCGATGCTCTGTGCACAGCAGTATCCCATGAAATGCATCACAAATCTTATTTGGGGGATTGATGACCAAGACATCGGGAGAAATTCCTTCTTATCTCGAATGGTGCCTGAACAGGCAGACGGGACTTCAGTTTAATGTCTCATCTGAAGGACGGCACCTCCAACGATATAGCAGCAACAACAACAACAAATGATAGCGCCTTTCACGTCAGGAGGCCATCCCAAGGTGCTGGTCAGTCAGGAATCCACACCCGAGTTGGTGGTTGAGATCAGGAGTGGTGGAGGGCAGGGAGGGGAGGGTTAGGAGGGTGACCGAAGACAAGGTCACACCCCCAGCGCTGCCCTGGAGTGTTGGCCTACACAAAACAAGTTCAGAATCCCGACCTTCCGATTGAGAGATGAGAGCGTCCTCCCTCCGACTGTTCAGCGCCTTGGGACGTCCTCCCCATGTGAGAAGCGCTTTACAAATGTAATTTTGTCGTTGTTCTTGTTGAGAGTGCTACTAACTGAGTCAAGCTGGCACACAAACAGACAACAACAACAACAACAACAACAAGATTCCATTTATAAAGCGCCTTTCACGTCAGGAGGACGTCCCAAGGCGCTGCACAGTTGGGTCAGGACCCGAGCAGGGGGGAAATGGTCAGGGTGAGGGGAGGGATGGGAGGGAGCGAGACAACCAAAGGCTACATTAATAGAGTATATCAAGACCCTAATACTGATTAAAGTGGCATCACCAATCATTCAGTCAATCGGTCTTCAAAGTGCTTTAACAGATGCACAACATGAAAGACATGAATTAGTTCATCCAGTTGCCTTTATTTCCTCCATCCATTAATACATAAGTGATGATCAACATTAGCGTTGTGAAAGCAAACCCCCCTTGAGACAAGTTAGAAAGACTTAAAGAATGTGCATATAAATTATGCATCCTTTACGGTTGCACTGAAATTGTGTGCAGGTCACTTTGGTAACACTGAGCCTGAATGTAGGTGTGAAATCCTTCAATCTAGTCTTATTCTAGAATCAGTTTATCCTCGGTTCTTAAAAAGAACCGGCTTCCGAATTAGGGCTGTATTTAAGATTTTTCACATTCTGCACCTTCTGACATCTTGAAGTAAAATAGTAGTACGGTATATGACTAGGTAAGGATTTGGGGGTCTCTGAAATACCCTTGTGCATTGGATTTTCACAGCTCTCTGTTTGCCTGTCACTATCCATCACTGCTCACCGCTTACACAGCCTCATATCATAGCAGGAAGTAACCTCAAATCAGGTGGAGGAAAGGTCAACAGAGAGTGTGTTCAAACCCAGAACAAGCAAAAGTCCAATTGAGCACAGTAGTGTCCCACAAACAGTCACGGATTGAGTGACCAATCTTCTTTTTGAATGGATTATTACCCCCGGAAGGCGATTCGCCAATTAACTAACAACCGGGTTCCTACTTACTGCTAGGTAAACAGAGGAGGTGGTAAGGAAACTTGCCTAAGGTTTCGCCCTGACTGGGAATCAAACCCAGGTTCTCTCTCTTGACTGAAGGCAGACAAAAAGTGCATTGTATGCAAACATGCAGCTTTTTCCTTCTGTGTCTGCAAGTACACACACACACACATACATACATGTATACACATGTATAAATACACACACACATACACACCCGAAGATACACACAGTGACATTATGCACACACACACAATCTCACACAAATGCACACGGTTACATACACACACAATCACAAGCTCAGATACATATACACAAAGACACAGACAAAACACACATGCATACACAATCTCACACTCAGATACACACAGACTCACATACACGGATAAACAGTCTCACACACAGATATACACAGACTCAGTCACCCACTTGAACCCAAACCCCAGCTCAGGCTCCAAATCCTTGACCATCCAGCACCTTGGGACATCCACTCAACATGAAAGGAGCTGTGCAAATGTAATTTGTTGTTGTTGTCCCCCCACCACCACACAGAGAGAACCACACAGCAATTTGCTAAGGATCATTGCAAACATTCTTACTGTGCTCCCAGCCTGGCAGGCACATTCCTTTAGCTCCGAGGTCACCAGAAGGAAACCCCCTCCGTACACTGCCTGGAACGCTGCCATGCTAACTGCTGCAGTTAACTCTTTCCCCGAGACTCAGCACTAAAGCTCCGCGCACATATTCCCCACTTAAAATAATAGGCATTCTCAGGATGCCTCACACTGCCAGAGTTATTGGCCAGTTACATGATCTATCCGTGTACGTTTGCTGAACCATGGACCTAATCTCAGATGACAGTTTTATGTAGCGCCAGAGTCTGAGGCTAACTTCTTCATACAGGCTGAGTTTTGTTGGAAAATAATTTACACCAAATTGTAACAATGAATAGTCCAAATTTTTGTTTTAAATCACCCCCTTTTTGAGGCTGTTTGCAGAACTCTGCTGTGCGCGATTGGCTGCCGCCTTTTGCCCACAGAATCCACAGTCAATCCACTTCACAATATATTCTGCGAAGCGCTTTGAGAAGTCTCAAAACCATCCCCCACCACCATCACCACCCCCCACCCCCCACCCCATCCTCTTGAGACGTGAGCCATTGAGAATATGATCAGATCGCAGTGTAAGTGTGTGTGTGTTTTGTGTCCATTTGGATCTTTGAGGATTAAGTCTTTCTTTGACACAATAAGGGCGTTCTGTCTGTCTGTCTGTCTGCTGTTATCCCCTCCCCACTCTCCCCCACTCTCCCCCACCCCTCCCTCCCCCTCTCCCCCACCCCCTCCCTCCCCTCTCCCTCCCTCTCCCTCTCCCCTTCGATCGTTGTATTTACAGTGCAATCTCTCAGTCTTAAATCTGTGCACAGATTTAAATCGTTCCGTCTTTCTTTATTTATCACAGTGTTAAAAAGGCGGATCTGCCTCTTATTTTGCCCCTCGATTTCCGAAGAGCCCAAAGGTTTGGTTTATTCTCAATGCAATAAGAGCCTGGAAAAGTTTAACAGCCATTTATTTCACCAGGTTTCCCTCTCAAGTCACGTTAGACACAATATTGTTTTCCCTACCCCCCCCCCCCCCCGTATGAAATATATGGTCTGCAATGAGATTGTGCTGTGAAATTGTCACATCAACTTTTTTTTTAGTGTGGAGGGAAGAAGGGATGAGATTTGGGGGGGGAGTGGAGTGTGTGTGTGTGTGTGTGTGTGGGGGGGGTGGGGGGGGTGTAAAAGCCAAGCCATTTAAGAGAATACTATTTATACTTGTGTGGGTGTTTTTTTTTCTTGTTGCATGTGTTAATTTATAGTGATGTTAATTTACAGTGCACAAAATGAACAATCAATCTGAGGAAGTGAGTGAGTGAGTGAGTGAGTGAATGAGTGTGTGTGTTGCTGATCTGATAATGGGAGTAATGAACAGTGGGAGCTTACTGTATATATATAGAGAGAGAGAGGTGTGTGTGTGTTTGTGTGTGTGTGGGGGGGGGGAGTGTAAAAAAAACAGACTGAAATGTAGATCTTCTTAACCACTAGGTGTGTATTTTTTTAAAAAGCCTATTATTGCTTAAAACAATCACATCTCAATTAGACAGAGTGAGGTTTGAGAGTACTATGGTGTTGTTTTTCCTTGCTGTCTGCCCACACAGGGTTTGGCTCTAT